CAATTCTATACTATTTTTTATAGATAAATAGATATAAAGATAATTTTATTAATTTTATTAATAAAATTTTTTCTATAAATTAAAATTAATTTATTTAGTAAAAGTAGCTCTATAGTAATAATTATAATTAATTATAAAAAGTTAAATTAAATATGTCGCTCCTGGGTTTCCCACATCGTATGCACAAGTGTTAGCCAACTGCCGTCGACCCACACCATGATTCGTGTTTGAACTAGATGATCTGCTGACCGGAATCACCGATCATGGATTTCCGGTAACTTTATGGACAGTGCATGGAGTAGAGACATTGGGATTCACCAACAAGGGATTTGATGGCCTCTTCGATATTTCGTCTAAGGTAAGACAGGGCAAGGGAAGTCCGTGTCTAGATAGGCAACCACAGCCTGTCGCTGGGAAACATTGAAAACTCAAGGGAAGGCTCATATCCAGGCGCTAATGACGATCGGCATTGCTTTTTATCAGAATGTCTCTCCCGCGAATGAGAAATCGCAGAATGGTCCATCCGGCAAATCTTCCTAAGACAGGCACTATTGGTGCCACCCTTTCCACATGCTTTCCTTACAGAGCAGTAAGATCACGTTCCCGTATGCTGCTGGTCAGGGCAAGAAAACTGGGTCCCAGAAGTTTGTAGGTAACGACAAATCTAAGAAGTCACCAAATAGCACGTCAATATCGGCGAAACCATCGGTCTCATAAACTTGCATGTTACTTTCTGGAGGGTCTAATGATCCCTGAACCGAGGAAACTTGCTTGATAGCAGACAGGTCATTAAATGGGCAGTCATCGCTCTGATAAGTTGGGAGCGGTAAGACAGGCGCAGCACTTTGTGCGTTTGTAGAGTTAATGAGCGTGTTGCCGGGCGCTGGCGACTGCGTGGGAGCTTGGCTGGGTTTGTGCGAACCAAGAGTTAACCCATCAATCTGGTGTAGGGCTTTTCGCCCTAGCCGGGCCATTGCTTCTGCAGAACACCAGGAAATCCCTAGGGCTTCTAGAAGCGTACAGCAAGCTTCCAAGCTAGCTTTGGCACGATCAAAATGGGTGATAAGCTTGCTCGAGCGGAACTGCTGATACGACACGCCCATAGATAGTGTGAGCGCATACGAAACAATGGGAATTGGAGGAAGGTCCTGGGAACATTCGGTAGCTACGATGGAGTGTATTCGAATAGCAGAAAGACCTTGCCGTATATACGAAGATTTGGAACCATCAGGGCGACCGGTCAACTTGTATCTGCATGACAGAATGGCAACGGCGTGGTAGAAAAGCTCGAGGAAGCCTAAGTTCTCATTTAGCTTAGTGAGCAAGAAAAGAAACAATATTTAATGGGCTGGCCGAAAGGACCAGGCTTGCCGAAAATTAACACCCACCAAGAGTAGCAAAGTCCAGATCCTCGCGCACATCGTCGCCCATAATTTCTTCAAAAGTCGGAAACCCGGCCTCCCACCCGACCGTATGATCTGAAGTTGGCCTATAGAATGAAATAACATGGGCGAGTAAATCGGAAATTGCAAACCAAGCATCAAATGCAGTCCTCGCATGGGAGGGCTTTAACCCGGGCTTCTTAATACCAATGTCACGGTCTGCAAAGAGAACAGGGCGACCGCCTATGCACGCATGCATCTTGTCTAATGTCCACAAGCACCAAAAAAGGCCCGCTAAGGAATCCCCTGGTACTTGACCAGGACGGTCAAGATGCAGGCCGACAGTCTGAGCCTGATGAATCGCCTGACAAAGGTGCATGGAGGCGGCTTCTGCCCCTTCATAGCCCTCACAATGCAAGGACATCAGTGCTAAGGTGCGGATACGAGTAATTCGATCAGTTTCAAGCCCTTCATTGAGGGCGACTACAAGGCCTCTGTACAATTCAGAGCAGAACTGGCGTGGCATCATGACAGGGCCACTTGTGGCCAGTCGAAGCCAAGGATAGGCTGTTCGGTCTTTCGCAGCAACAAGGCATATAGCCCTTTCTAGAAATACTGATGTCGTTTCTTTAGAGTAGGCAAGCAGGAATGAATCCTTATCGACAAGTGGTAAAATATGATTGACCCTGGAGAAATAAATAGGAATCAAGTGATCTCGTGTCGAAAGAGGGAGACGCTCACAAGTTTTCAAGGCAGTTGCATACCGCTGTTGTAATAGTTTTGCGATAGATTGTGGCCCGAGAGGTTCATATGAATTCCCTGGGGCAGCAGCATCCGGATCAGCGGCTATTCCTCGATCTTTTGCATTGCTGTTTGTAGCTGGTGAGCTGATCCAAAGTCCGATCCGGTCTCGAAGCTGACTTTGGCATGAGGCGTCCAGTCTTTCCCGAATCACAGCTTCCGGATTAAGATCTCCCACAAAACGCTCTGTCCGGGGAAAGTCAGGAGAAACAGGGTGAAACTCCCTTGGATTGACCTGTATCCCAGTTGTCGGTGGATTAATTGATGAGTGTTTTGTGACGTCAGGCTCATTTTGTTCGATCAGATAGGTAGGCTGATATTGGTCTTGGGGTTGGACGTTGCATGTACCTAAATGACGACAGCGTTTCTTTTTACACAATTAGTTGAGCCCTATTTCACACTTTGATTGACTGGCCTCACATGCCACAAAACCCATACACACACAGACGCACCTTTCTTCTTTGGCAATGGGCACATGCCCTTAAGGCTCTGGTGCGACGCCGCGACTGAGGTATGTCAGCGAGCCACGTCAGTTCCATTTCATAAATTTATTGATATATATTGAAAATTTCAAATATGCAAATACAATGACTCCATAAGTGGTATGTGGTGCGTTATGTAGAGTGATGATGACATGCAGCAGTAACCATTGCGCTTTCTCCATTTCGATTATTGGTTCGAACTGATTTTAGGTCAAAGTCTGTCTAGCGGCTAGCCACTGAGACAAGTTATCACCGCCCACTAAAATTCTGGAACCGCTGAGCTGTGTTTCAATGTTCTTAGCTTACATGCTAATTCTCAATGGCCAAGCCGTACTTTCCAGTAAGACTGGTGAGCATTAAAAAGAAAGGTTCAGGGCTCACCTATACATATTAGTTATTTACGTCAAAAATTCCTGTCGTCTCTCCAGGTCCTAGGTACTACTTCAGAGAACGATATTCAGGATTTTTTGGGGGAGGTAGCGAGATTGCCTCACGATTATGTACGATACAAGGCCTACGAGCTATATAGCATGTCAAAGAGGGAAAAAGGGAGAGCCTTGAAGGTGTAATTATGTCTCTAGTATATGTCGAAACCCAACATACATTCACAAGAACCCCAAGCGACGCCGAAGACCGTTGATTATGACCTAACTTAATTTGTCTTATTCCCAATAGGTAGAACAAAAACACCAAAGCTGGCAAGGTTTGAGTTAGACTTCGCACATTTAGCTCGCTGTCTCTGTGGCTGCTAGAGCTTCGAGAGCATCGGTATCATCATCAAACTCATCTGTATCCTGAAGCTCCAAGGGCTGTGTGACCACGTCAGCCAACTCTGAGGCATGTGATTTAGATCGCTTTGCCCCAGTGTATGCTAGTTTGTCAACGGAGACCGAAGGACTTTTAATAGTGCCGAGGGGGCTGGTAGTCTTTGCTCCCGGAGTCAGGCTCCAATCAATGACCTCGTCTGGACCATAACGTTCAGCCAGCCACTCGTTGCACTTTTTAAAATGTCCATTGGTGAACTAATTTCAAATCTTTGTCAGCTGTACTCAGAGAGAAGTGTGGAGCTAATGCCACACAAAAGATGTGAGGTATTTATACTCACAAAGCCCCTGGATGCACTGAGTGGGCTAGGATGAACTGATTGAAGTACAGAATGCTTCTGTCGGTTAATACCTGCCACACGCTTCCCCGCGGGTGTACCCCATGCAAGAAAGACAACTCCGTGAGATCGAACTCTGGCTACAATGTCAATTACTTTCTGTGTAAAACGTTCCCATCCTTTGTTTGAATGACTAGCAGCTTGATGTGCACGAACTGTTAGACAAGTATTAAGAAGCAATACTCCACGCTCAGCCCATGGTGTCAGAAGCCCTCCTTTGTTAGGTGGTCGTTGAAAGGAGGGATAGTCATTTTTGATACCTGTGTAGATGTTGACTAGGGAGGGAGGGGCCGGAGTCGGAGGTCGGACTGAGAATGCTAAACCATGAGCCTGGTTATGATTGTGATAGGGATCTTGTCCGACAATCACTACCTTCACCTTGTGAAGGGGCGTATGTCGAGACCTGGAGCAGCGTAAGTATACTTGTACTGCCTGAAGAGGCCATCCCGGCACTGTACCAGGAATATATTTCGTTCTCCGGGGGGAACATTTTGACTCCCGACTGCTTTTCTTTTTGGAGGAAACGTTTCAACGCTAGAAACTCGGGTGTCACCAATTCCTCTTTCAGCTGAGCCAGCCAACTCTCATCCAACGTTTCGATCTCAAGCTGTAGGAGCTCCCTCTGTTCCGAGGTCAACGACGTAACCCATCCTTGTTTATTAAAGCTGGACGAGCAGGATGACGTTGATTTAGGTTCAACAGTCTTAGCCTTGGGAGGACCGAAGAAGGAAGTAATACTACCATTCTTGGCTTTCTTCGCATCGACGGGTGAGGTTGTCAAATGATTAGCACTGCGCTTCTGGCCTGCTGGGCTGGGCATGTTTGCGTGTGCGTGTGTGTGTGGGAATCGACTCGTCCTTGGGACGTAGAAAAAGCGAGACCAATTGTGGCTAGGGAGTGAAGCGATGATAGTTGGAAAGGGTGATTACAACAACAGTAACGTCAATCGGATAAAAGACTCACATAATATGAGACACCGTTGCATGTTCGCAGGATATAGAGCCGGAGTATGCTGGACTGCCAGTGGTTTAACCAGCAATCTGCACGCAACGCGTCAAGAATCGCGTGTACTGACGCGTGATTATAATCTATTCTCGACGTGGTAAAAGAGCTAGCTAACTCCTAGTGCTGAATTAGTCCGGTATTTTGACAGCAATACGTACGTTATATGTACTGGTATTGGAGTTGGATACACCCGTAAAATAAATACATTACCAGACTGTGTATTCTTGAAAACCTACCCAATGAAAATCGGGGTAGCACTGGTAGCTACTAGTAGTAGGGATTGGTCAGATAATACTCCGTACGAGATCTACGATAGATTCTCCGCACATAACGAGTAATAATTATAGAGTCTGGTGTGCATTTGGATTGAGTATTCGGTCCCGTAGTTGTTACCACTACTAGTTCTCCATAGTTGCTTCCCAGACCAGGCATAGCGACTAACCTCTTTTGGATACCTAGTAAATCCGAGAGTATTAGGTAGCTTAAGTTGCTATATTCAACTCGTAGTGTATAGTGCCTAGTAAGGTGGTTTACAGTCTCTGGAGGTAACGTTAAGGTTATGCGTTAGGGGTGCAGAACTAACGAATTGCTTCCCCAGCTTTTTATAAGGGTAGATAGGGGGCTCAAAGATATACCCAAATATTGTGCCAAGAAGACTTTGTAGCATGGCTGAGCTGCTAGCCCGCAAGCTTGCGCATAGGATAGAACAACAAAGTACATAAGCCGAAAGTAGCTGCAATTGCTCAAGTTGCTGGTAGAAGACAGGAGGAACTCATATGAATATAAAACTATCAAGCCGAAAGGAGTTTACAATTCATCATGCTCAGGCTTGTCATCGCTAGGAGCAGGAGTTTCAGTCTCGTCAGAGGCGGTCCGAGTCTCTGTGACATCACCACTCTCCTCTTCTTTCTTCGAATCAACTTCAAAAGCATCGATCTTATGCTTGCCATTCTCCTTGACAAAGTTCGCGAGATCCTCCACTGTGCGAGAGCCTTCATATTCAACAGGGGAGTCCTTAGTGCCGGCAGGGTAGAGCTTAATAGTGGGGAAGCCTGTAATCGAGTCGGGGACATCGTTGGCTGTTGCATCAATTTTGGCGATGGTAACTTCAGGGATATCCTTGTAAAGGCTTGCAAGTTCCTCATACTTCGGCGCAAGACTATTGAAAATTGATTAGGTATTTGCAAGAGATATAATTCGTGAAGGAGTGGGGGAAAAATACTTACGCTTTGCAGTGTCCGCACCATGGTGCATAAAATTCCAGAAGAACATCCTTTTCGTTGTCAATGACAAGATCCTTATAGGAATGCGCCACAACAACAGTAACAGGGCCTTCCTGAGCCTCAGGGATAGCTTCCGACTTGATGCTTGGCTCGACTTTATCATCAAGAACGTCTTGGATGAATTTACCAATATCCTTTGCCTTGACTTCTTTCGATTGATCGTAAGGATACTTGGCGTTCTTTTCGGGGTCTTGAATAGCGAATGCAGGGAACTTAGAGGGGTCAAGGTTGAGGTTACCGGCGTGAGCGCCGTACAACTTGGCGTCAATGGTGACAATATTAATAGAACCCTTATGCTTCTCGGCGATGGACTTGAACTCCTCAGTGAACTTCTCACGCTCTTCTTTGGTTTCGGCAAAAATGTATGCTAGTGGAATGCCAGCCTTCACCAAACCCATGTCAGAAACTCATGATTATTTATTACACCTTGTGAAGCGAGGTTGAAGTTGTGCTTTGTGACATACCGTTATATATCCAGAGTAAGTCTCTGGGCCCAGCTCACCCACCAAAGGGGTACTGGCAGTCTTAACCCAACTGAGAAGAGCATCCTGCTCTATCTCCCCATCATAGGTAGCCTTCTTCTCATCGAAGTCTTTGTAGAGAATGATCGAAGGTTGTTTGACACCCTCCGTCTTAGCGATAGATGCATCACTTGTGGCGGCGAAGAGATAATTGTCTCTTTGAGACTCGGCAAAGCTGGTGAATATTTCATTGGCAGCCTGGTCGTCAGACGCAATATAGCCAATAATAACAATCTTGTCCATAGTCTTGATCTCTTCAAGATTCTCTGGGGTAATAGGGGACACAGCAGGTAGTGACTGCTTAACCATGTATGAAACAATCCTATGAAACTAGTGTCAATAATATTCGAGCAAGGCTACCAAACAGGTGACACTTACGCCTCGGTTTGACGAGCTCCCTGATAAGGCTTAACAGAGTCAAGGCCACGGAAAATCTTAAGCGTGGGGTAGCCTTCGACACCTTGATCCCTACAAAGAGCCTCTTCCTCAGTGCAGTCCACTTTGACCAGCGGGATGTTCTTTTCCTTCAACTCAGTGGCAGCCTGCTCATATTTCGGAGCGAGAGCCTTACAATGGCCACACCAGGGAGCAAAAAACTCAGCTAAAACTAAGTCATGCTCCTTGACGAATGTTTCGAATGTGTCCCCAGTGAGCGAGACTACATCGGAGGGAGCTTCGGCTGTCGCATCGGCAGCAGAAGCTACAGCAGAAGCCCCTAAGAGGCTCAAAATCCAAGGTGCGAACGACCGCATGGTGTCTCGACGTTGTCAAGTATGATGATCTCCAAAGGGAGACGTGCTGTACTGTCTATGTGGACAGCAGAGTATGAAGAATACTAGTAGTACCCTTTGAAAGAAGACAGCAAGTGACGTCTGCACTTCCTAATCTTCCTCGGGCAGAGGACAATGAATAGAGGGGTAATGTTTAATTAATCAAAAGGCCAGGAGGGTTAAGAAGAAAAAATGATGGGAATGGCTGGAAGGTGAATAGGCAAAGGCGAGTTAAGTAGTGAGCTTGGTATGGGAAGGAGTTAAGGACAGTTTGTTCTTTCTGTAGTCAGCTGGTGCCTGGGCAACATGACTGGTCTGCTGGGGCCCGCCTCGTATGGACACACAGCAAGGGACTACCTGTACTGCGTAAGAAGGTCAGGTACCACCCTAACAGTACTAGCCTCGGGAAGCGCCCCATAGTGCGGCGGCACTCAATAGTGGCCGCTGGGCGATACTGGGGACGCCACTTCTTGAGTATTCACCAATTTCACCTAGCCTCTAGGGTCTCACCCATGGATCCGGTAAACTTTAGCTGGGTTTTTCTTATTATTATATGTAGAAGATTTAATGATATCTTGGTTTGCTGCTGGCTTATAAAGTGAGATTCTAGCGAGTTGACAAGTGAAACATATAGTTGTTGCTTTCTAATTCTGCATGTGTGTAGTGTCCTACTAGTAAGGGAAGGGACTAAACTCACGACCATTCCTCAACTGCTGCTGATGTAATGGGTGGAATTCTTGGAAGTGGGGATATGCTTCAGCTTCAAGATGATCGCTCTGTGCACTCAGACTACTCTATAAAATCGATATATATATATATATGCACTGTACTACTGTGTATATATACCAGAGTACATATGTACATACCACCTAGGACTAGTTCAAGCACTACCCTACCTTCTTGTGTTAAGGCAAATAAAGTTCTAGGCCAAAGGTTGCAACAATCGAATTTTGATAACGAATTTATAATTTTGAGAGCTATTTTATTTAACCACTATAAATATATATATATATATATATATAGGCTGGTGTTACGCCCGGGGCTTCGTCGTCAAGTCCTGAACCAGCAAGCTAACCGCGTGTAGTAAGAATTACCTGCAGTCGTTCTTTGACTGCCGTCGTCAAAGGGTTGCGGTCTTGGCAGGACAGGAGTCGTAAAAAGACTTCTGTCGATACAAGACTGCTGTCAAGGCTGGGCTTGAGTCCAAAAGGCCAGACCTACCAAGTACGTATATCTAGTAGTTTAGAGAGTGCGAACAAGTTGAGACTGGTTTACTAGTAAAGATAGCTCTGTAGTAATAATTGCGATTGATCACGAAGAACTAAACTAAGTATATGAATGAGTGTCCTTATATATCCTTAGTCCTTGTATACTATTATAGTATATACTATATTGATCCTCTGTATACCATTGCTTGGCGTGTATATCATTATCTCGTGAGGTCACGTAGTGTAGCTGATATCGGCCGTTCGTTAGCCGTTTCGTTGTATACTATTTTATATGGAATACAGGGCCTACCGGGTTACTTACACTACCGGGTTGCTTACCGGTTATGTTAACGTAACCGGTAAGTACCCTGCGCAGCTCTATATCCTATACAATAAGCTCTTTTTGCTACTCGAATATCTCAGCAACCAGAGATAGTAATAATATAATGTTTAATAAATAATACAATATATAGTAGATAAAGCTAAAAAGACTTTTTTTTTAAAAAAAAAGATTTTCTTTTATTTTTATACTATAGATAAAAAATACCAAAAATACTGTTGTAATATTTAATACTAGAGATATTCTTTATATAAACTTCTTTCGTAAATATATAAAAGATTGAGCTACTATATACATCTTTTAAATTTTCTATTATTATAAATTTTGGTTGCTGAGGCAAAAATAGGTTCTTTATAGGGAATACGGAGCTGTGCAGGGTGCTTAACGGTTACGTTAGATTAAGTATATTAGTAAATTAAGTATTGGATATTTATCACTGTTGGGATATTTGGATTATAAAAAGGGCTATTCTATATGGGATACTGGGTTGGAACGCTCGGTTATGTGGAACGCTCGCTTTCCAAATACGTTAATTGGATTTATAATAACTAATACTATACCCGTCGACCACCAAAGCACTTTTTGTCTTGATTCAATAAGGAGTGTTTATAACACCGCCACATCCAGCTTCTGCCCCATGCCTATGGCAAAGAAAAATTACTCCTATGTCTTCCTGCAACATACTAATTACGT